AACTCTCAACTCGGTGCCTCTCCTTGTGCTGAGTCCTCTGGCTGTGACCCAGGTAGAAATGGGTGTGGTGACAAGTGTTATAATCCCAGCGAAGGAAAGCAGAGCTAAGTGGAGCCTTGGGGCTCACTGGCCATTGTCCTGGCCAACTTGGTAAGCTCCAGGCTAGAGATCCTGTCTCAAAATACAAGGTGGACATCTTTAGAGGAGCAACACATGAGGTGGACTGCTAATCTCCACACACACTAATACACATTCACACTTGCACCCACATATGCAGCCCCATGAACATGCACAGAACACATACACACACACACACACACACACACACACACACTCCTCTCCTGCCCCTGCCTCTATGGAACTAAGCATGACCAGGAGAAAGTGGCCATGGTGGCAGACAGTATGAGCTGCCCTCTGTATCAATTATCCCACCATTTCCCACCAACCTCCAAACTGCTGAACCCTCCATTCTCAGCTATGGATTGCCACAGTGTTTAACAAGACCATATAGAAGGTTCTGGAATGAAGGAAGGGTACGTCATAGAGGCCACATCCAAACAATGGCTATCCCATCAGGGTGGCTGTCCTCAGAGCTCCTGGCATAGGAGCAGAGGAATATGTCACTTTCTTAGTGAGAAGGTGGGTATCCCAATTCCAGACAAGATGCTGGTAAATCAACCCTTGATGGATCCAGTGGTGTCTGTGTACCTGGGTGAGAGCAACGTTCTTCCATCCCCTCACACAATGCTCATCTCTTCTAGAAGCACCCAGAAGTCAGATGTGAATGTGTGCCCTGCCACAGGGAGCACCTTTGTCCTTTTGAGCCCATGAGCCAGAATCTTTGGGTCAGGAACTATGTCCAGGGAGGGGTTTCCTAATTTCATTCATGGTTGGGTATCTCCTAGGATCATGTCAAGTCATCAGTCAGCTGAGCACTTGGCCTGCAGGCCCCACCAATGTAATTCTAGTCTGCTACAGACTGCTGACAGGGTCTTCAGCACCAAACCCTGATCCATGGCTACAATGTATACAACTTTACAGTGTGCAGCCATAGCCACCACAGCACCCAACCCATTCTTTCCAAAGCAGCAGTTCGGCTGAGGCTAGAACAAGGACAGAACTCTGCTAGATACAGCCCTGGACCCTGCCGTCCCCACCCAGGGAACTCTGCAGTCCGGAACGGCTGCCTCATCTCCTCCTCAGCACCAGGTCTCTCTAAGAGGGTGGGGTGATGCCCCAAACAACCACAAAACTTACCTTTTTATCCATATGGTGACCCTGGAAAATGTCCAGACCTGTGCCTGGGGGCAACTTGCTACTTCTAAATAAAGGGGTTCCCTTTGCTTGCTTTTTTGTTTTGTTTTGCTTTGCTTTAGAGTCTTGGAGTCTTCTTGCTGTGGCAGTTAACATGGGAATCAGGTATAACAACTCAGTGCTGGTACTAGGAGAGGAGAAAGTAAAAAAGATCAGGAGTTCAAGGCCATCTCTACTATGCAGCAAATATGAGGACAGCTCCCCCTCAAAAAAAAAAAAAAAAAAAAAAGACAAGACAGGGCACAAGGGACTCCTGTGTACCAAGAAAATCTGTAACCTGGTATAAATGAGTGGACATGGCTTTAGACCTTGGGGGACACAGAGTGGCACAGAGGAGGAAGCTCGGTAGCTCTATCCTGAGGGCAGATGGAGGAGTCAGAGAGACAGGAATGAGAGCTAGCTCCTGGAGCCCAGCTGGGTTTATATGTGGCTTTGCCCCCGGGGCATCCCAGGTTCTGAAACTGGAACCCAGTGAGCTATCATATGGGCTGGGAGCAGCAGGAAACACCTTCCCCCCATTTATTCAATAGCGTGCCATCTTTTGAAGTTGTTATTTTTAAATTGTGAGCATGTGTTTGGGAGTACTGTTAGCCAACGAGGACAGGAGAGGGTGTTGATCCCGTGGAGTTGGAGTTATGGGCAGCTGTGAGCCACCTGATGTGGGTGCTGGGCATTGAATTCGGGGCCTCTGGGAGAGCAATATGCACTCTTTAATTCCTGAGTCACCTTTCCAGGCCTGTGTAGATCTTTGGGTTGCTGGTGGCAATGAAGTGACAAAGGAACCCATGTGGTCTTTGTTCCTTGAGTGCTCGCTCAGAGCTCACACAACAGCAGGGAATTGCCCAGATGGCCTCATGATGAAGACAGTGGTTGCAAGCTGCCATATATATGTATGTATACTTTGCCTGTTGCTGCATCCGAACAGCTGACAGAAAGCAGCTTAAGGAAGAGGCTTGTTTTGGCTCACAGTTTGAAGGCACTGGCCATCATGGCCGGAAGAGTGGAAACAGGAGCATGAGGCAGCCGACCACATCACATCCAGTCAGAAAACAGAAGGGTTAAGTGTTGGTACTCAGCGCAATTTCTCCTCTAAAGAAATTACATGTATTCATTTTGTGTGTGTACGTGGAGGTGAGGACAACTTGGGGGCTTTGGTTCTTGCCTTCTTCCCATTTGGTTCCCAGCACCCATGAGGGGGCCACTGCAGTCTATAACTACATAGTGAGAGTCTCACTATGTAGTTTTGGTTGATTTGGATCTTGCCATGTAGACCAGACTGGCCTTGAACTCACAAAGATACTCCTGCCTCGGCCTTCTGAGCACTGGCAAGAGAGGTGTATGTCACCTCGCCCATCCCCCTCTCAAAGACTCACCCCCACCCTCCAGCCCTTGGGTCCTACGCTTCCAGAGCGGGAGGGCAAGAGAGACCCTAGGCACAGCCAGAAGATGCCCTCCTCACCTCAAACACTTGCGTGGGCAGCTGGGATCACGTGGCACAGGAAGTGGCCAAGCTGTGCGTGCCAGGCGTCAAGGGGTTGGAGCATTGGGCCCAGAGCGCGTCATGATTGGCCATCGAGGCAGCTCTTGAGGCGCATGCGCCAGGCCCGGCCTTCCGCTTAGCTTGCCCAGTTGGCGGGAGTTGGCGGCCCGTGTGAGGTGAGGTGAGCCAGCTCCGTAGGACCCGTGTGCTGGGCTGGGTCAGGCCAGGCTGGGCTGTGTGGGGCTTTGGGTCAGGCAGGGACAGTAACCCTGTGTGGGGAACTCGGGCCGGTGGGTGGTCTTGTTGCCGGGCGGGCGTCACACAGACAAACCCTCAAGGGCACGTGGCCTAGCTGGTGGCCTGGGAGAGACCCACTTTGCTCTTTGATTGGTTTCCGGCGCTTGAGACCCAGAGGCTGGCGGCAAGGATGGCCTTCCGGTGCTGCCTCTGAGACCAGCCTAGTCCTCCATCTTGGGTTTGGCGAGGGGTTTCCCAGCAGGCCTCATAGGGGTATTTGCAGGAGCTGAGCCTTTAAAGTTAAGTTCTGTGATGCTTAGTAGGGCAGGAACATTCTACATTATGGGGGAGGGTTTACATTTCAGCCTTTGGTCAAGAGGTACATAGGAGCCAGGCACCAAGTGTCAGCTGTGGGGGGGGGGTTAGGAGAACTCACAGAGTGAGTGAAAGGACAGTGGCCTCTGGGCTCCCCCAGCTGAGGCCCTGTGGGGTATTTGCTCAGAGATGCCATACTTCAGGGTTATTTTTGCTACAGCAGCTGGAAACCCCCGCTCTTTATATAACAAGCTCTCTGCTTTTAAATGTTGCCCTTAATTCATAAGATTTTAACATATCATAGAGCCAGTGAGAAGACATATGTCAGCTGTATTTGGCCCTTGGGGAAGGGTGTTTATCTATGCAGACTGCCAGTGGCCCTCACATCTGTATCCTGGTGCTTGAGAAACTGAGGGGGGGGGGATAAAGAATTCAAAAACCAGTCTGGGCAACATAACAAGACACTCACTGCCTTAACAAAAGTGAGGCATGCCCCCAAACTGACCTGGATTGTGTGAGCTATCTAGTTGACTTAATTGGCTCATGAGAACTGCTCCTTGGCTTGTGTTTTTACTCTGTTCTTTTAGGTCTAGCATTGGAGTCAGAATTTGAGGTTAGGAGTGGTCTGAGGCTGAGGAGTATCAAACACTTTCCTTGCAAACGAGGCAGGACCCCTTACATTGCAGCCTTCATTTGAGGCCTCCCTGAATGGGCCTGTGAGAACATTTTTTTGAAATGGGGAATGTATTTGAAGTGAAATTTCCAGAGCCTTTGTGGACATGAATCAGGATCCGGTTACTTCTTGGCTTCAGGGTACTAAATAGTACTGAGGGGAGAGAAGGAGCACCCAAGGAATTCCTGGGAACTAAGTCATAGGCATCTGGCTCTCTGGGTCTTCTCCATGCCCCTGAATTGGTGGGTCTACACATGAATCTCTTGCAGCTCTTGCCCCCAGGACAACTTTCAGATGATACAGAGGAAGTGAAATGAGAACCCTTGAGGGCCTCACATGGCTGCTTTTCTTGCGGCTGTGGGCCCTGGACCTGGCAGGGAAGAAAAAAGAATCTAGATGCATTATGAACTTACAGCCCCAGCAGACTTTGTGGCCTCAGGCTGGCATGCAGCTAGTATTATTGAGTGGGAAAAAAAAAAAAGAATGTCAATAATTAGGCTAGTCTGCTTGTCAAGGACATGGTGGGAGACCAGGGTAGAGGGACCATCTTGGGCAAGAATCCTCTTCCATAGACGGGTAATGGATCTGGGCTTCTGTAGAGAGTGGCTGAGCAGGACTTGGTGGGTTTGTGGAGAGAATGTCTTGTTCCTTGTGGCCCCTTCTTGTCTGGTATAACCCAGTCCAACTAGGCTTTTGAGCTGCAATTACAATCCCACTTGGTGTTAGGAGATGTCTGGATGGAAGATAGCTACTCCCCCTCATGTCATCCTGAGGGAGCCCCTAACTTTTCTCGTTAGCTAACTTCATGGAGGTAGCTACCCTTGTGTCAGGGACAGGGACTGGCTCGGGCTGTACCCCCAGTTTCCTGGTGAGCATCCTCATTGCTGCTGGCCTGGCTGTTGTCTGCTTTAGAGTGGACTATGGATCACCTCACAAACCCTTGTGTTGTGGCTCAGATCCCATGTGGTTCCAGCCTTTCACCTTCTTCCAGGTCAGCTCATGTGGAGAGAGGCAGAGTGCTTAGTTCACAGATCATACAGACTTCATGGACACCATGTTGAAATCCAATCCCCAAGACCAGCAGAGGAGTAACCACAATGGTCAGGAGGTAGTGTGGGAATTCTTACACCCTTTGTCCTCCTACTTTCCTCTCTGTGGCCTTTTTCTAGAACAGTCTTTGGTCCTCAGGCTTTCAGGTTCTCACACTCTTTGCCCTCCTACTTCAGCTCATGTGACCTCCCCTCCAAATGTTACCCTCCCTCTGCCAAGGACCCTGTGTTCGCTCACCTCTCCTGGCCCTTTTCCAGACCAGTCTTTGGTCCTCAGGCTTTGGGATGAAGATGGAGGCCATCACTCCATTCCTGGGGAAGTATCGTCCCTTTATGGGTCGCTGCTGCCAGACCTGTACTCCTAAGAGCTGGGTAAGTGGTGGTATGGATGGGCCTCCCTTATAACTCAGGCTAGCTTAATTCTGGGAGTGAGGATGTTGGGAAGCTGTCTTTCCAAGCTTGATCTTTGAACAGCACCCTGCCTTTGCCCTTTAGAGGAATGGATGCACCAGGGTCTGTTGTTGGCAGAACTGGGTAGGAAGCCTCAGGAGAGATAGGCTGGAGTATACCTAGGTGTGCACTAGGTCTGTTTAGTCTGTGGACACTGTCCTCACAGCACTCAGCATCTCTTGCATGTCCATATCATGTGTTGCTGCCAAGCGGGAGGGCTCAGCACTCTAATGGAGATTCAGGTTACAGATGGTCTTCTCTTGATGAGTTAAAACCCCTTCTCAGGATTTTAATGTGCTTATCTCTAAGAGGGCAACTCCACATGGGGCAGTGGTTTCCATTCTAAGGATAAAGCCTTTTCCTCTTTCTTTCTTTCTTTCTTTCTTTCTTTCTTTCTTTCTTTCTTTCTTTTTTTTCCTGAGCCAACATTGAGATCTGGGGCCAGACATCTGGGAGATGTACTCTGTACTTTCCTTCTGGTAGACTCAAAGGGCCATTAGGCAGAGGCTAGATGGGTAGGGTACAGACTTGGCTTGCAAAAGCCCCCAGGATATGTTGTCCCTTCCCTCTTGGGCAGGAGTCCCTCTTCCACAGAAGCATAATGGATCTGGGTTTCTGCAATGTGATCCTTGTGAAGGAAGAGAACACCAGGTAGCCATAGCTTGGGGTGCAGGATGATGGGTTATAAGGGCCCATTCTCTTTCTGCAATGGAAAAAAAGGGCCCCTGTCCTCTCCTGCATAACCACAGCAAACTGAGGCAAGCTTTCCTCTCCTCAAGTTCTCCCATGAGCGTGTATGGGTTGCCCCCTGGGTGTCCCCTTTTGTGCTCCCTCAGTGGGGCAGAGGGGTGGGACTAGGGACCAGATAGGCACATGTTTTTTTGTTTTGTTTTTGCTCCATGGTGGAGTTGGTCCTGGGACATGAGATGGGTGCAGGCCCTTCCTGATGAATAGACCTCTGTGGACCCTGGAGAGGCCTCCCTGAACTATCTTCCCCCAGGTTTCGGGGCTGGCTGGTCCGCAGGCTCTGCTATTTCCTGTGGTCCCTGGAGCAGCACATACCCACCAGCTCTGATGTCTCCCAGAAGATCATGGAAAACACTGGGTAAGGAGGCTGGATCTGAGTCTAGCACTTGGGGGACACTTTAAAGGGTGACAAAGGCTCTATCAGGATGGCCATGGCTGGCTGAGACAAGGTTTCTGGGATGTTTTCTTGGGCCCATATTGGACTCCTGGGTATGCACTGGGGAAGTAACTGGAGAGACCATTGGCACCTAGCCCAACACTGTTCCCCAAACCTCAACAGGGTGCAGAACCTCCTTTCAGGGAGGGCTCCAGGAGGGGCTGGAGAAGGCCAGGCACCTGAGCTGGTGATGAAAGAGGTGCAGCGCATCCTGGGCCACATTCAGGCCACACTTTGCCCCTTCTTGCTCAGGTAATGATGGTGAGGACCATTTGTCCCTAGGTTGAGGCCTCTGTCCCTCTGTAGAGTAGATGTTAGCTGGGTGTGGCAAAGCACAAATATTCTTCCTTAGCAGCTGGATGGTAGCCTACTGCAGCCCCTGCCTGGGTTCATACGATGCAGGTCTGCACACTCAGATGCAAGGGATTAAAGAGGTGGACAGTGATACAGCTGCTCAAAGAAAGGAACAAGGCCTGAGCCAGAATTCCCAGGGGTGGGGGGTAAGTATTGTAGTTAGAGTCAGAGTGAAGAGAGCCAGCTCTGGAGGGCACAGGAGTAAGAGTTGAGGAAACAGTTTCTTTAGAGGGGAAAGCCTGAGTCAGGGCCCTGAGCAGGAGAGGGTCATGTTCACGGCAAATAGTGGCATGGTTGGAAGCTGATGGGTGAAGCAAGAGCAGCTGGAGAAGAATTTGAGGTAGAGGGAACCAGATCAGAGCCATATAAGTAGTTCAGGCTGCTCTAAGGGCAGTAAAAACCAATATAAAAGTGGCAGCATGAGGAATTGGAATCGAGAGCAGAGACTGGTATCTCTGCAAAGCTGTTAGTTCCATTGAGAGATGATTGACAAGCATTGAAGAGATTGAGGGGTTAAGGTGGAAATAATGGAACTCATGAATAGACTGGGTGATGGGAGGAAAAGAGAAAAATACAGGAAATCCCTGTTTGTGGCCTGGTACCTGGGGGTGTATACAGAGAGGGAAGGACTTGGTCAGAAGGGAATTCATCCTGGATGTCTGGATTGAGAATTCCAGTAAATGACTTGAGGATTTGGTTGTCATGTAGGTCTGGGAGCTCAAAAGAAGGGGCATAGGTGTGCAGAGCTGTGGTATACAGTTTATTTTTAAAGCCAGGGGAGGAGTTAAGTTGCTGAAGGGGGCTTGTGGTTGTGTGCCAGGCTCAGCTGTTGGTGATCTTGACCAGTCCTCCATTGTAACAGTCTTGACTCTCTTGAGGCTTTCGGGCTCTTGGCCTCATGGTGCCCTTGTATAGGAGCTCCCAAGCACAACTCTAGTGGGCTGCCTGCTTCCTCTGCACCTAAGTAGTCAGGTAGCCTTAAAGTACAGCTTTCATAGGGGCACAGCCTTCCCTCCTGTTCCCACATATTGCTGCTTCTCAGAATTGCCATTTAATACTCCCATGAGATGTGGACTTGCTGCTTGTCCACAAGATTTCCTCTACCTACTTTGGTAGTAAGATGGTCCCCCTACTGGGCGTCAGAGCAAAGGCAGTGAGCCCTGCCCTCCTTGTGTCCTCTCCCTGCTTTTCCATGTAGTTGGTAAATATAAGCCTACTGGGTTCCGTCTGTAAAGGGTCTGAGTCCTTTGGTCTCTATTTAGGTGAAGAGAGGCAGATTCTGTCTGTTGTGAGCCAGCTGTGTCATGAGGTCTTAGAAGAGTCAGGGCCCCACAGGTGTAGGCTGTGTTATCAGGACCCTTTGTAGCCACAGTACCCCACGTACCCACTTAGCTTTGTCTCTTATTGAGCAGGTTGTGACCCCCTCCTGACCAGTGTGGGCAATAATGTTGCTTGCCCTAGAGTAGTTCTGGGCAACCTTCTGGGGTACTGTGGGGCTGAGCCTTGTGGAAGGTGACTCAAGCTAGCACTGCTTCCAAGGTTGTTCAGCTGGGCCCTGCTGTGGTTCCTGAACCGCCTCTTCCTGAATGTGCAGCTTCACAAGGGACAGATGAAGATGGTTCATAAGGCTGTCCAGGAGGTAAGACAAACTGTACTGGATAAGTTTAGATGGCCTGAGCAGAGGCAAACCCAGGCCTTATCAGCTGTTAGAAAAACCCACAGCTCTTAAACAGCCTTGCTGCCATGTCCCATAGTCCTGCTCCTGCTGGGTTTCCTGTCTTTCCCTCAGTTTCAACAACTGTTATGTCTTACATTACCTTAAAAGCAGTGGGAAGGCTGCTCTACCTTTGGAAATGTGCAGAGTACTCCCCCACCCCCAGTGCTGCCCTGGGATTTGCAGAAGCTGGGTTTGGCTGTGGTTTTATGGTAGGTACTTCCTTCTGGCTGTCTCTGGAACAGGGCTCGCCGCTTGTTTTCCTTTCTACACATAAGTCTCTCCTCGATGGGTTCCTGCTGCCTTTTGTACTGTTCTCCCAGGGCCTGGGTGTGGTTCGTGTGGCTTTGGACCCTCGCACCTGCTCCCCTGCCCTCAGGTATGATAGGAGGGGAGTCCCAGGCTGGAGCAGGGGGATGGAAGTTACTTTGCCTTCTTAGTCTGTTTTCAGCCATATGACACAGCTTGTAGACTTGGGTAGATGGTTGGCTATCTTCAAATGCCCAGACAGACAGGCCTGGAGAGAGGCAAGGCTCTTGCCAAGTCTCTGGGCCCAGTCTTTCCTCCAGATCCCCTTCTCACTAGGCTCTGTCCTGTGCTCACAGAGCTCTACTGAGGAAACTTGGGGGATTTTTCCTGCCCCCAGAGGCCAACCTCTCCTTGGACAGCTCAGATGGCATCCTTGCAAGGGCTGTGGTCCGTGCAGTGAGTGCTCCCAGTTGTTTAAGTATGGGGTGGACCAAGGGTACAGTGGTCTGCTTCTGATTTAGCCTCCATGCTTACCCTTCCTCTTCCCTTCTAGGTTGTGGAGCAGCTGCTTGCCAGTGGGCAACCTCTACTCATTTTCCTTGAAGAGCCCCCTGGGTACCCAGGGCCCAGGCTTTCAGCCCTGGGCCAGGCCTGGTTAGGACTGGTGGTCCAAGCGGTCCAGGAGGGCATCATCCCAGATGCCACACTGGTACCAGTTGCCATTGCCTATGATCTGGTTCCAGATGCACCATGTGACATGAACCAGGTGAGACCCTCTTGTCCCTGGGGGTCCCAAGTGGGTACCACTTCTGGGTGGCACAGTGTTCTGTGATAGGGCTCCTTTAGGGCCAAAATAAAATTGGAACATGAAGTGTGTATAAAGGAAGTATCCCTGCAGTCACCATCCTGTAGTATCTCTTAAAGTCTTTGCCTTCACTGTCTTAGAAAAACCCCTCAAGAAGGTCATGGGTGAAAAGACAGCTTGGAGACTAGTGAGCAGTGCAGAGGGCAGAATGGGTAGCAGTCTAGAGACTTGCCTAAGTTTCTATGTGCAGCCTCTCCTTCCGTGCAGGACTTGGCTCCCTTGGGGCTATGGACAGGAGCCTTGGCTGTCTTTCGGAAACTCTGTAACTGCTGGGGCTGCAACCGTAGAGCCTGTGTCCGGGTGCACCTTGCCCAGCCATTTTCCCTCCAGGTAGGAAACCAGTTGGGGAAGTCTGGGAGAGCCTTTGTGGTGATTTGGCCTTCAAAGCCATAGTAGAGTTAGTATTTTCTGTTTTAGTCTGTGTGCAGGTTTCTGAGGGGGTGGGGGGTGGGGCAAGTGCAGACCACACATCTTTATCCTGGGCAGGAATACACCATCAATGCTAGAAGCTGTTGGGGCAGCAGGCAGACCCTGGAACACTTGTTGCAGCCTGTTGTGCTAGGTGAATGGTAAGGAGCAGATGTATGGTTCCCAGAAGGGAGGCAGGTGGCTCTCAACATGACCAGACACTTATTTTCTCTACAGTCTGAGTGTAGGATGGCCCGCAGGCCTGGAAGGGGAGAGGGTTATATGGGTTCTCCCAGGACTTGGGGAAGCTTTAGACTCTTAACATTTTAGTCTGGTTTCATTCCTGATCTGTCTCTATCCCAGCAATGTTGTTCCAGACACTGAGAAGGAGCAGGAGTGGACCCCTTCAACTGGGCTCCTCTTGACTCTCAAAGAAGAGGACCAGCTTCTGGTCAGAAGACTGAGCCGCCATGTCCTGAGTGGTGAGGGAAACCCAGATCTGCACCTTTGGGGTATGGTAATACAGGGCCAGTTACCAGGACCTCATGGTTATCAGCACCTGACCTCCCACCCCATTTGTGGCATACTTGGGACACCAGAAGAGTGGGGCACCCAAGGAGAGGGGGAGCAGATGAACTCAGTGTCTGAGTCAAAGGCAACTGTGCAGATGTATGCCAGGTTCAACCCAACCCTACCCCAGATGCCTCTCGACCAGTGTCCTCAGCTGTAAACGGGATGCTGAGTGGAGTAGCAGCAGAGGGCACTCCGAAGTCTGTTAATGCCTTCTCAAACGCCACTGCAGCACACTGTTGGGGTGGGTCTGGTTCACAGCACATGTAATAACTTCTTCCTGGAACCGGCTCTCTACTGCTGGGTGGAGTTGGAGTGGTATGGTCAGGAAGATCTATCTGTCAGAAATATGTCCTCTCCTGTCCTCTCCCCAGCCAGTGTGGCCAGCTCAGCGGTGATGAGCACAGCCATCATGGCGACACTACTGCTATTGAAGCATCAAAAGGTAGGGGGCACTGTGTGCTGGGGTCCAGGGAAGGACAGGGCTCGGCCTCTGCTCAGGCCTGTTTTGCCTCCAGGGTGTGGTCCTGTCACAGCTCCTGGGGGAGTTTTCCTGGCTGACAGAGGAGACACTGCTTCGTGGCTTTGATGTAGGCTTCTCTGGGCAACTGCGGTGTCTGGCCCAACATACACTGAGCCTGCTGAGGGCACATGTGGTTCTGCTGCGTGTCCACCAGGGGGACTTGGTGGTGGTGCCACGACCTGGCCCAGGCCTCACTCACCTGGCACGTCTGAGTATGGAATTGCTGCCCACCTTTCTGAGCGAAGCAGTGGGTGGTGAGTTGGTGGGCTCAGCAGGGCTGGGCTGCATGTGCAGGGGCGAGGGGAATGGTTCCCTCCTTAAGCAGGCTTCCTTCTCCGCCAGCCTGTGCAGTGCGGGGGTTGCTGGCCGGCAGAGTACCACCTGAGGGGCCCTGGGAGCTGCAGGGCATAGAGCTGCTGAGTCAGAATGAACTGTACCGACAGATCCTACTGTTGCTGCACCTGCTACCCCAAGACCTACTGCTGCCCCAGGTCAGACTCCCTCCCCCAGCTCGGCAGGCCCGTGGGCCTTGTCATTACCACCTATGGTAGTGATCTTGGCTTCTAACTACCTCTGGTCAGGATTCTGCCAGCCGCGCCCCCACCACCCCCGAGTGGAAACGTTTGATCTGAAGGGCTTTGGTGCTTCTCTTCCCACAGCCCTGCCAATCTTCCTATTGCTACTGTCAGGAAGTGCTGGACCGGCTCATCCAGTGTGGGCTCCTGGTTGCTGAGGAGGTATGCTCTCAACCCTCGGTGCCAGTGCCCTGGGCTGCTTCTCTACCCTAGGCCTATGTGTGCCATGCCAGTTTGCATGTGTAGCTCTAGGATTCTCTTCACACTTCCTGCCTCCACATTTCTTAGTGAGATTGGGTACTAGGCATCCTTTTGGGCTTCCCAGACCTGCTTTCACCTGCCAGAGCCAGGACCAGGTCGGAGGGTTGTAGAGCTGATTGCTGCTCAGCCTTACCAGGGACCAATAATTCTCCCAACTCACAGACCCCAGGCTCTCGGCCAGCCTGTGACACAGGAAGACAGCATCTGAGTGCAAAGCTGCTGTGGAAACCAAGTGGGGACTTTACTGACAGCGAAAGTGATGACTTTGAGGAGCCAGGAGGCCGATGCTTCAGGGTGTGTTGGAAAAAGCTACCTCAGGAGGCAGGTGGAGGTGGTAAGGTACCTGGGAGCCTTCCTTCCTCACTCTGGCCTGGCTCTCTGCAGCTTAGCCAGCAGTCTCGCTGCCCTGACTTCTTCCTCTTCCTCTGCCGCCTGCTCAGTCCAATACTCAAGGCCTTCGCACAGGCTGCCGCTTTCCTCCACTTGGGGCAGCTGCCAGATTCAGGTGAGGCCCTTAGCAGTTTTCAGGGTCAGGCTCAATCCTACAGAATTGGGCTCCAGGTCTAATTTTTCCTGCAGAGGTAAGCTACTCGGAGCGGTTATTCCAGTATTTACAGGACTGTGCCCAAGAAGAAGGAATCTTTGGTGAGTTTCAAGCCCCATCCCTGCTCCCTGGAGGGGGTAGATTTGCTGGAGACTACTGCCCCCTGCTGGACAGTGGCTACCTGACTCCAGGGAAGAGAACTAGCTTTAGTTATAAGCAAGTCCTAGTTGGTTCTCCTTTAAAAGGAGGAAAGCCCTGCCCAGTGGCTCCCTGGCTTGCCCCAGAGCTTTCATTGTTTTTCTCTTTAGAGTGTGCAGACCCAAACCTTGCTATCAGTGCTGTCTGGACATTTAAAGACCTGGGGGTAAGAGGGGCATTGTTACCATCCTGTCCCTGACTTCACCCCCAGCCTGCTACAACCAACAGCTCAGGGGAACCACCTTGTTCTCACACCCCATGGGGCTGGCCCTGATGAATGCTAGAGGGGATGGTTTGTTTTCCTGGTTCACAAATGACTGCCTTCCCCTACTACAGTGGGGTTCTGGGGACATCAAGTAGTGTTTGCACCCAGGCACTGAGGCATCACTATAGGTTTGGTTTTTGGGGGGAGGGGATGGGGGGATAGGCTTGGCCCTGGGGGCACTGTCCCCTCAGCAAAGGTGCTTACAGTCCATCCTGTGGGTCAGGTACTACAGCAGATGCCCAGCCCTACAGGACCCCAGCTCCATCTGTCCCCTACATTTGCCAGCCGGGACAACCAGGACAAGCTGGAACAATTTATCCGACAGTTCATCTGCAGTTAGAACCAGAGAGTGGAAGCTGATGGGACAAGTCAGCCATCTAGAACTTAAGTGTGCGTCGTCCACTGATCAGGGCACGGCTAACCTAGATTTAGAAAAGCTGTGCTTACTCATCATTTGGTGTCATAAATAAAGATAGTAGCTTAGTTTCTTCTCTAAGCCTGAGGTATGTGTCTAATATCTATTTCCTCCTTACTTGCCCTGTGAAAATTACATTCCTTTTGGGCATGGGGGAGAGTGTGTGTGGCTAAAAGACAGCAGAAGCTGAGCTTCAACTTTGAGAGAAAATTTATTTCCAAGGCCTACCTAAGAGCACCTCAAGTGGGCAGGGGCAGCGGTGAGCTTTGTGGGAGCAGAAGTCCCACCTTTGTGTCAAGTCCAGTGTTTACAGGGATGTCATCACACCACCTTGTTGACAATGACACCAATTTCTTCAATCTCACACTGGACTTCGTCACCCTTCTGTAACACAGTAGGCCACCAGGTTTTTAGCCCTTGGCTCCTGAACAGGCTCTCCTCCCCCCCCACTCCCTGCAGGCTGCTCCAAGCTTCCAAGCTTGCCAGGCATCTCTCTTTCAAACCTTGAGAAAGACAGGAGGCTTCCTAAACACACCAACACCTGGAGGAGTCCCCGTCAGGATGATGTCCCCTGGATAGAGAGTGACAAACCTAGGGGAAGCAGAAGGATCAAGTAAGACCGAGAGTGGGCTCAGTTACAGGTGTGCCAGTGGGCGGGGCTGGCTGTGACAGGCTCCACCCACTTACTGGGAGACCCAGGCTATCAGCTCTTCAGTCTTGAACACCATCTGGTTGGTGTTGCTGCTCTGGACTACCTCCCCGTTCACTCGACAGCAGATCTTTAAATTGTGTGGATCTAGAATTCAAAATAATACTGTGGGGTTGGTTACCCACCCACAACACCCAGCCCCAAAGGAGAGAGGAAACTGTAGGGAGCATTTCTGCCTACCCTGGCTTAGCACTGTACCCTGGGACTTCCTGTACAGACTGGAATTCCCACACCAACAGCAGTAGCCCTTCAGGTGAGGGAAGGAGGGACAGCGTGGACTCTGAACAGGGAACAAAAACAGCCAAGGGATTTGCTTTTTAAAAAATGGGCACGTAGGCCAGGCAAGATGGCTTCACAGGTAGAGGCCAAGCCTGGGGCCTGAGTTTCATCCCTGGGACTCATGTGGTAGAAGAAGAGAATCAATTCCTGAAAATCGTCCTTTGATCTCTACCCAACCAATTGCCATGGCACGCACATACACAAAAATAAATGTAATAAAGTATTTTAAAAATAGTATTTTAAAAATAGTGCAGTTATATGGTTATCAATTATATTACCTTATTTTCTACATATTTAAAATATTTCACAATAAAGAAAATAGGGAAGGAAAAAAAAAAAAAAACAGAATAAAAGGGCAACCATCCCCAGCAAAGGCTTGTAGATCTAAACTTGTAGATCTAAAATGACTCCACATCTCCAAAGCAACAGGGATAGCAGAGCAGCAGACAATGGTGCAACCCAAACTATCTGGCACCCCTCACAGCTGCTGGAATATAGCTTCTATGGCACTGATGTCCTAAGGGGCTCAGCCACATGGCCATATCATCCCCTACAGATGAGTGCATAGTGGGTGGGCAAGGTCCTGTTGGTGCTCACCCACAGGCTGCTTCCTCCCAGCTTAGGGGCCACCTATTCCAGATGGGGAAGCTGGAGAAAGCCCCCCCCCCCCAAGGGCAGTGTTCTTTGTAGTTCATTTTTGTGGATGCAATTTCACAGCAGCTGCAGCTGTGTTCCTCCAGGGGGCTCTGGAAGGAAGTTCCACAGAGAGCTAGCTCACCGCTGAGGCTGGCCACAGCTCTCTGCGGGAACAACAGTGACACCAAAGCTCTACATGTAGTTGTAACCACAGTCCTTGCTGTCGCACTATTTTCTCCTGACACTCAGGTGTTGCACATGGGAGGGTACAAGTGGCAAAAACTAGAAACCTACCTGCTATGCTGTCCCTGGTAACCAAGGCAGGGCCCAGGGGGCAGAAAGTATCAAAAGTTTTTCCCAATAACCACTGCTTTCCATTGCGTCTCATTTGCCAGTCCCGAGCACTCACATCATGGGCCACAGTGAAGCCAGCCACGTGAGCCATGGCATCTGTGGCCTGTTAGGGCAGGAGATTTGGCCAGATGGGTTACATCACTGGTGACACAACCCCTAGAATAAAGAATCTCAAAGCCATTATCACACATTAGCACCAGCGCTAGCCAAAGGTGGCATGTGAAAGGCAGGGGAGTAAAAGTGCATCCCACTGTAAGACAGCTCGCACCACTGCAGGGTGTGGTCAGTACCAGCAGAGGAAGGATCTGGGAGTGGCGCCCTCCCTGGCCTGGGAGCTCCCATCTCACCTTGATGTGCTTGCCTTTCTTTCCAATGACCACGGCCAGTTCCACCTCCCAGTCCACCTCCTGCAAAGAGAGGACAGTGAGCTGCAGTGGCTGTAAGGTAGGCTTCGGCTTCTGAGAACCACGGTGAAGTGAATGTCGTGTGGGTATGACTTGCAGACCCACAAGCTCTGGGTAGAGGCAAGCAGCACCACTGGAGGTGACTAGGAGACCAACACATGTCTGTCTGGGGACCTGAGTTTAAAAGAGTGATGCCAAGTAGTAACAACAGTATGTAACTCTACTGTGTGCTTGACACTATGTATGTGCTAAAATGCATTAACTATTTAATAAGCATGGGACCCCTGGAGAAACGTATTAAGGAGCTTAAATAAGCAATGCACAAGGAAGAAATGCTCAAAATGCTAGCCTCTCCCCAAATGAACCAATGCAACTGGAAAGAACTTACAATTTAGTCTTCACCAGCTGTTTTGAATGGTAATGACAAGAACTGGCAGAAGTTCACCTGAACCCAGGTGCCAGCCTGAGCTCCTGAAGCCACTAAAAGAAACAGGCTCCTAGGGAAATGGCTGACTAGTGTAGGAGACAGCACAAAAGAGCCTTCAGTGAAGGCTAGAAAGGAAGGACATGCTCAAAGGGGGATGGAAATCAACAGGACAGATCCACTGGCCAAAGTGGGTTCATCCAAATTGAGTCAGAGGAAAAATGAACAATTCAAGGGAATACAAAAAGCACAGAGAGGGCTAGGGAGATGGCTCAGCAGGTAAGAGTGCTAGCCACAGAAGCCTCATGGCCCAAGTTCGATCCCTAGAACACATGGAAAAGGCAAGATGCAGCAGCACACATTTGTAATCCCAGTGAGATGAGGCAGAGAGGACAATCATCCCGAATGGCATGCAGCACAGGAACAAGAGGGCCTGTCTGCCTCAACGAGGACCAGGGTGAGAACTAGCAGTACTCCAGAATGAGATACACTGTTAGAGGCCGGGCAGGTGGCTCAGTTCTTTCAGGACCCAGGTTTGTGTCCCAGCACCCACATCAGGCACACACAACTATAACTCCAACTCCAGGGTCTCCTGCATCCTCTTCCCGCCTCCACAGACCAATCATGACTGAGAGTAAAGGAACATTAAGCGAACAAAAGGGGACATTTGAGGACACCTGACATGGGCCTGCTGAGAGGCTGCAATGGGAAACACAGCACAAGCCCTGTGCAGGACACCTCAGAAAACTGCTTCGGCTGAATCTGATCACAAGGACCTGAGGCAAAACTGGACACGGGCACCCTAAGAGGAAAACTTCTTCAAGAAGTGTCAGGAAAAGAAACCATGTGGCAACCTCAAATGTGTCAGGGAGAAGACTGAGTGGGATGCAAGAGATCCTTGATGGAGTTGGGACAAGGTGCATGTGTGGCAGACACAGTGGGGACAGACAACACTGGGAGACTATGCATCAAAGCATGGGCAGCAGGCTACTGGCAGCTTTACCTAGATTATTAACATACTTCCAGTAGAAAATTACTTTTACAATGGGGAAAAGATGTAAGTTAATTCCTGTCACCTACACCCAGCCTGTGTCAGTACAGTACAGCCCTCTCTAACTTCTGTGTAGTGCACTACTGAGTGACAAAAGGTTCCTCAAGGCCATGGTTCTCAACCTTCCTAGTGCTGTGACCCTTTAATACAGTTCCTCTTGTTGTAGTGACCCTCAACCATAGTTACTTTGTTGCTACTTCATAACTGTAAATTTGGTACTGTTATGAATAATAATGTCAATATCTGATGTGTGATCCCTGTGAAAGAGTGGCTGGACCTCCAAAGGGGCTGTGACCCACAGGTTGAGAACCAGTGCTCTAAGGGAGTGAGTGATCTTCTACAGGACCACAGCCACCTGGGTGGTGGAAAGCACTCACCTCACTCTCCGGTGGGAGGATGATCTCATCATAGGGCCCCACAATAGAACTGGAGAACTTGCTGAAGATGATGGGCTCCTTGGGCACCCGCACATTCTGTTCTTTGCAGTGGTCTGCATAATTCATGCCCACACATACCACCTTGTCTGGCCGGGTGACAGGGGCCAGGAAGGTCACCTGTGACCGACACAGGACTGGCAACTGTGTAGCCAGGGCTCTGTAGAGACCAAGGGGAAGAAGGGCTAGCAGGGAGCAGCTTCAGAATCCCAGGGCAGGCTGGGGAGGTCCCACAGCAGTTACGACTTTTGCATTTTCTAGATCATTCATCCATCGGTGTAAGACTCAAACCCAGCACCATACAGTCCTTTATAGCAAAGTGTGGTGGTGCTCATCAGGTGCTTAACTCCTCCCACGTGGATACTTGCTGTCCATGGAAAAGTATATGAAAAGTGCAAAGGTCTCTTTTATCCTCTAGTCACCTGCCTCCCTGGAGACAGCTCCTGTGTCGTGCACAGCTTGTACTAGCTGCAGTGGGATACCCCTCTCATTTCATCGTTTTCTATATGAACGATAGAGTACTTGGTGTTCCCTAGAACACAGAGTTCCTCCTCCCTGTGGCTGCTATCCCTCACTGTTAACACTCGTTAGGCTGCTAATAACAGGAAAGGAAGTGGTTTCTAATTTTTAAGACAATGACCATTTGGAACCATAGTGACTGCCACACTGGGCTGTCAAACACTTCTATTCCTCTACTCTACTGGTGAAAACACCTCTGTTCTTTGACAAACTCAGGGGTCTCTTTCCTCTGAAGGTCTAAATAACACTGCATCTTCCCAAGAAGCCTTTCTTGTTTCTTGGGACCTTGTTGCAGGCCCCTCTAGTGGAAAGAACTCTCAGGAAGGCAGTATAATGACATAAGGTCCTAGCTTCACAGCCAAATGAATTAATCAACCTCCCTGAGCCTCGGTTTCCCTCTCTGTAAATTGAGGGTGTTGTATGAGACTTTAAAGGCTTCTGCTGGGCATGGTCCTATTCACCTGTAATTCAGTCCTAGCATTCAAGAGGATGAGGCAGGAGGTTCTCCCAGTTCAAAAGCCTCCCTGGGCTACATAGCAAGACCCTGTCTCAAATGAAAAGATTTACATGCCTATTGGCTCTTTACTGAAAGAACAAGTGAAAAAGAAAACAGTGGGATCCCCTGCTCCTTTGCAAAGGAGGCACCTGCTGATTCTGATTCTCAGGGCAGGAGAGGATCGGAGGAGGGGGAGGGACCAGGGCCAGGCAGCAGCTGACTTACCTTCTTGCCACCGAGAGGGTAGTCTCTCCCTGCTCCAGGAACTGCATCATTGTCTTGGGAAGTGTGGGGTCAAAAGTGTTTAGGTCTATGACTCCCCCACCAATCCCTGCCTCCAGGCCCAGGTGAGGCTGCTCCAGGTGGGGTGTCTGGAACTGTACCAGTCTCATGTCCCTAGAGGGCTGACAGGGCCTCTTCTGAACTTGCAGCAGAGCTGAGAACAATCTCCTTCTACCAGAGCCCAGCATCAAAGCCTAAAAGGAAAGAAGCCAGCTGCAGGGGTCCCTTAGTATTTGCCCCATCGGCCACTCCCACGCATGCCACTTGGGAGTACAGACACAGGTCACTTTACCCTCTTCAAAAAGTCAGAGTACAGATGACCACGTCAGGCTGGGCTCTTGGTTCTCCCCGGTTAGGTCAACCTACACTGTTCAGGATCACCACAGTACCAGCTTGCAAGTCTGCTCAGAAATCCGAAGGCTTTCCATCTGTTCTGTTGCCTTACACAAGCACCACGATGCCACAATCCAAAGGCTGTTCCAGGACATGTGGTCAGTCACACCACACATTAAAATGACAGTAACTGTCCTGAGGAAAGCCAAGTCTTCCACCTGCGATGATTGATTTAATTCTCTTGACTGTGGCTGGCAGGTACTGCTGGGCAATTTTACAGATGAACAAGCCAAGGCTTAGATAGGGCAAGGGCTTGCCTAAGGTTCAAGGGTCATACAGCTAAAAGGAAGAGTTGGTATTGAATCCTTGTCTACACGATATTGACGTTCTCTTCAGAAGCAAGGTACTTCTCAAGCAAGATAATCAGGTTTCAATCTTGCCCACTCCCCTCAGGCCCTAACTGCTACCAGCCTACTGTCATCAGTCACGCCCTTAGGCAGCCAGTGATGAAGATAAGGCTGAACATCTGCTCTCTGATAACCCCGAACCCCACTGATTGTGCTAGTCCCTCGTGACAGCGCGCTCAGGTTCATTCCATCTTTGCAACAATCCCTATTGAACAGAAAGCAGCACTGAGGCTTCACGAGGTAGTCACTTGGCAAGGTGGCGCTGGTGTTTCTGTAATAATCACTAAGGCTCACAGCACAAGGGTCCCTCAGCAAGCGGCACAGCAATGGGCATCTTGAGGTGCAGGGCAGTGTGTGCGACCTTGAGGATCTCCACTCTCCGAGAGCCGTGACCGGCTGCTCAGTTTCCCAACTCCCGCTTCACCTTCCTCCCACGCTGGTCTAGTCTCAGCTTACCTGGCCGCTGCAGCCGGACCCTCCCGGCGTCTTAAGCTGTCAGATGACACCTGCAAGGCCACAGGCCAAGGGCGGAGAAGCCACAGCCAGTCCGGTTCCAAGTACCCAGCAGTTCTTCTCCAGGAAAACTAGGGGCCGCTGTCGCGACATGATGGCGTCACGAAGCCGCTGCCAATAGGACTCGTTCTTTCCCCGGAAGTCCGAGCTCCCGCTGCTAGGTTCTTGCAGCCACCGTGCTTCGTGCAGGCTCCCTGTAAAGGCTTTTAGGCAAATCCTTGCAAGCTCCAGAGTGACGCTGATTTTAGCCAGACCAGGAGAGAGCTCATTCTCGCTTTTAGTTCCTGCCTCCAATCCAGCCCCTGCTCCCGAGCCAAGCACCTCATAGTTGTACAGAAAGCACTCTGGCGAACGGTATCAAGTGGTTTATCCTCAGCTGTAGACTTCAAGGAGAGGGATGGTTGTATTTGTTGCATTCGTGAGAAAAGCATACAGGCTAGGAGTGGTTTTGCCCATGATGACCCCCGTGCCCGTAGGAGCAGTCTAGCCACTTATTTAACTGTCCTGGCAGTAGTGAAAATAATCTTTAGAAGACACCTGTGTCCTCTTCAGCTATTGGGCTTTTCCCCAGGAATCTTGGGGCTCCAAGAAAGAGACTCCTAAATGAATTAAAGTCCAAATAGATTATCAGAGGTTTTAATTGTCCCAGGAAGAAGTACTATGGGCCTTGTTTTAGTTACCTTTTCTTTAAAAAATTTCCTCCACGGAGGCATTTTATTTATATGAAGATTTTATATCCCTTATATCCCTAGAAAAAGAACCTAAGGGTTTTCCTTTCCGTGCGATTTCTTGTCTTGCTTCTTCATAGTTCATGCGATTAGAGGTTGTCATTGTGAGAAAACCAAACTGACACGATGGGAGCAGATTATTCTGCCATGTTCTAGGTCTTTGAGCTGCACATCAAGTCTGGGGCTGACTACGTCATGTTTGTTTAACCTGCCTGTGAAGTTGATGACATTCCTAGCTCTGTAGTCATCAGTGATTCCAAACCAGGCATAGTCCTCACAGTTAGGAACCAGACAGGAACTTTGGAGCATGCTAAACTGGCATTTGCTTCTTTCTTCAGCTTGTTGGTGCTCTCGGGTGTATCATCCAGGACATTCACGTGTACTGTTATGGTGGCATGCAAGAACAAGAGGGAGGAAGAGGTGGGCAGAGATATGGTTCAGTGGTTAAGAGCAGCTGCTGAGTTTGAGTTTCCTCACCCACACGGTATCTCACAACCACCTATAACTCCAGTTTTGGGAGATCTGATGCCCTCTCTGGCCTCTATAGATACCAGACATACATGTAGTGCACATACATACAGACAGGTAAAAACACTTACACATGTAATATACAATAAAAATTTGCAAAGAGAAGCTAGGAGGGACTAGTTCGTCAAATTCCCCAGTTACTTTTCTTGCTGCTCTAACAAAATAGCTGACATAAAACTTAAGGAAGGAGGGGGACATTTTAGATTGCCATTTGAAAGTACAGATGATCATGGCAGGGAAAGTACGGTGACAGAAACTTGAGACGGCTGGTCATACTGTGTCATCAGTCAAGAAGCAGAGAGATGAAGGCTGGTGCTTATCTTGCTCTCTCCTTTTTATGTAGCCCAGGACTTTAGGCCATGACATGGCATCACCCACAGTTAGAGTAGGTCTAATTGATTAGCTAACTTGATCTTGATTATCCCTGACACACTTGCCATAAGTTTGTCTTTTCAGTGGCTCTAGATCCTATTGAACAGACTCAATGTTTACCACCCAGGCCTTATCTGAATGCACAAGCCATTGAAGGAGCTCAGGAGATGCCATGGCCAAGCTTGCATTTGAACTAAGGGAGATTGTCTGGACAAGAATAGGGCAGGTAAGAGCAATAGGACTGTTCTGTGTGGTGGAGATGGCAAATACCCAGGGATGTTCAGGGGGATGAAGTGCCTGTCTTCAATGACAAGAAGTAGACCTGAGAGGGAAGGCAGAGTCCTGATTTTTAGCTGGTGCAGCCTCTGCTATCTGTGGAGATGCAGGGACAGGAGTTTGGGAGAGGATGATGCACCCAGTTTTGGATAGGCTGTAAATCATATACCTGAGTGACACCTAAAGACATTCAGGATCATGGTCCAAGACAGAAATCTAGAACGAGATGTTTCAGCCTGGCTTCAAGAAGCTAAGCCTAGTTATAAAAGGAACCCACGGGGGATAGTTGACATTGCTGGTTTGAACAGAACCTCATACAAAGTCTTGGCCCAAAAGATTCTGAAAATACAAACTGTGGAACAGAAGGAAACACTTGCAAATGAAATATCAGATACCAAACATCAAATACCAAAGGCTTGTCTCCTCATTATAGAAAGACCTCTCTAAAGTCCATGAGTAAGAATAGTCAAATTGAACAGATTATTGGACAAAAGACTTATATAGACAACTTCACAAAAGAGGACACACAGAAAATTAGCATGAAAAAGATATTGAAACACAATGACATCATGAAAATGCAAAGTATAGTCACAGTATGACACCACTGTGCACCAAAAATCCTTTTCAAGTGTTCACAGGGTTTGGAAGGACCCTCATGTATTGTTGACAGTATTATAAACCCATACAAGAACTCTTTGTATCCCTGGCTGTCCTCAAACTCACAGAGACCCGATTACCTGAAGCTCCCAGCGCTGCCATGGACCAGAACACCTTGCCCTATAGAAGGACTCTTGAAAAATATACATCGCCACCTCATGCTCTTGCCATTTCTTTCTTGCATAAGATAATACTGAATCTTACCTTTGCTCTGTGCTCCTAGAAATAGGGTCAATGACCTCAGGGTTGGAGAAATAGCTCAGCAATGAAGAACTCTTGCTGATCTTGCAAGACTAGACTTTAGGTTTCAACACCCACCCCGGATGGCTCACCACTGCTCATAACCCTAGCTCCAGGATATCTAATGCCTTCTGCCCACCTCCACAGGCACCAGTGCACATGACCACATAAACACATTAAAAAAAAAAACTCTCCATTTCCATACTCCATAAAAAAATCTTACAAGAAAGAGCCATCATACTTAAAGACTCCCCATATTCTTGTTTACCTGTGACAAGGGCAGACACTGACCTTCCAAATTCCCATTGCTGCCTCGCGAGTGATCAGATGACTCGCTTGTCCCTATTGTCAGTCAGGGCAAAATGCCTGGTAAGCCTTGGACCAGTACCTCTTCTTCCCCAGACCTCCACTTGGCCCAAACCATCACACAGTTGTCAGCAAGGGTGGCCCTATGCACCCCCTCCCATTCCTAGCCCGGTGGACCATTTGTATCCTTTACATTAAGTCAGTAATGTGCTACCCTCAGCTCTGTGAGCCATTCAAGCAAACGGATCAAATCCGAGGAAAGAATCAGAGTCCTTTGGTCAGATGCATAAGTAAAGCAGCTTGGGCTCATGATTAGCATGGGAAGTTAGGAGGGACTTCTTGGGAATAGAGACCCCCAACCTCTGGGGTCTGGGGCTATCTTCAGATTGTGCCAAATTGGATGAGTATTCCTTAGATGGTGTCCACTACTGCAAAACTGCTTGCTTGTTTGGTGTGTGAGAAGTTCCTCCACAGACCAGAAGTGCTCCGTGTTGTGGACACATGGAAGGAAAAATTGGATCAGGGTTGCTTTTTTCATGATAGAATCAGTCCCTCAGAATAGGTTGCTGCCAAAAATATTTCATGAGGCCATAACAGCTTGAATATAAGATCAGAAGAAGCAAGTGGCATCATATACAAATAAAACATTTACCATAAACAATAACAATCCAGTCTCCATTTTCTGGCTGCTGGGATCATAGGTGTACATTGCCATACCTGGGTTATGTCATGCTGGGGGTTGAACTCAAGGCTTTGTGAACCCTAGGCAAGCACTCTGCCAGCTGAGCTACATCCCAAGACCAGTGATAGTTGTTTGTTTGTTTGTGTTGGGGGTGGGGTTCTGAGTGCTGGGATTAAAGGCATGTGACAACACTGCCCGCCTCCCCAGTAATAGTAATGGGCCCTGCAGTGAAGATGCTTCCGGTTCAACCAATGTCTTGTTTCTCTCCCCCACATACACAAGAATAGAGAGTGGACAGAGAAGCCAGCCTGAGACCAGCCCCCTTCCCTCTGAGCCACATTTGTTCCTCCACGGAGAAACTTCTACAAGGCTGGGAAAGTTTGTGAACAAAGTACGGGACCCCAGGGCTTCAAGGCTCAGTAGGCTGTCAAGGACTAAATGATGACCTGCTCTTTAGGGGCCTTATTTTTAGTTTCTGGATGTTTTACTGTATTTGGTGATTTTTTTTTTTTTTTTTTTTTTTTTTTTTTTTTTTTGTCAAAACTGGGAAAAAGTGAGGCCTCGCGAGTAAGCAGTGTACTGGAAAGGAAGGGCAGGGAGGAGGGCTGGATTGGGCTTCCAGGGAAGGGTGCTGAGGCAGATAAGCTCAAGCAGCTCACCAGTCCACCAGAGGCCTTTCAGATGTGACTCTGTACAACCTCATAGCTAGCCCTATGACCTGAAAACTTCAGGCCCCTGAGTGCCTCGGACTCACCCGGAACTCTGCGCCCCCACCCCACCCCGTGCCCACCAAGTTTCAGGTGCACAGCACTCACTGGGGTGTGTTCCCGCCTAGGCCCCTTTCTATGTGTAAGGCATTCCATCAGTAGAATAGTTGGCCTGACCCTCCCCCTCTCCAGTTGGGCTCCAGGAGCCTGGAAAGCACATTGACCTTGACATTAGCAGTTGAACATTTTCCAGCTAAGAGGGCTGAACATCCAGTTCCAACAGGCTGTGTCGCAGGGTGGGTATTGGGAATACTTTTAGGGGCTTTTATTAGTAGAAAATCCAGACACGGAGAACAAGGTACTTAAGGTACAGTTTGAACTTTACCCCAAAAGCGTTCAGCACCCCGTTTTCTTCCCTCCACTCCCCCTCCCAGGAACAGTACCTCTACCCTCATCCGGTCCGTTCCCACTGGGGGAGGGACGAAACGGGACCGTCCACTATGGGGAGAGCTTCCTTTCCCAGCATTCCAAGCTAAGGGTTACCTGGGCCTCCACAGCTGCAATCACTCCA